CCCCCCGCCCAGGGGGATGAATGAGAAGGGCTTTGCTTTTTCTTCTCCACTTCCCCTTGTTATTGTTTAATCTAAATAAAAAAACAGAAGTATCTTATTTTGAATACAGTATTTGATCTCCACCCCTCCCCTCCCCTCTTCGTCTTCCCCCTCCCCCTTTTTACGCTTTCCTCCCCCACTCATAAACTTTAAATCATTCAGGACACAGTCTTCGACCCTATCTGTCAGAGCCAACCCGGGCTGATTGAAGTGCAGTTACCAAGCAGAAATATGGAAATACTGGATTTTAAAAAATCTCCTTACAAGAGAATCGAACTCGGGCCTTTTGCATGCGACGGCAAAGCGCCAAATCCCTATACAAAAGAAATACCAGTAATTTTTAGCTTAAAAGATAGTTGAAGCTACCTTTCCACGACAAACTTGACTGTGGTCGACTCTGTAATGTAGGCGTAGTCTCCGGTCTTCACCCGCTCTACAGCCTCCGTGAGGTTCTGCACGAACGCCGATTCTCCCGTAGCATTCATAAAGTTCCACATTCTATCAAAAGGTGGCATATTGCTTTTCTGAAAGACAAACGGCAATGAATAGAATAAGCAAATTTTACTGCAGTCAATGTTAGCTTCTTTTTTAGTTTTGGTAAGTGTTTTGCAGCGTTCGCAACTGCATAAGGTCGTATGAGCACATATTTAACATTTTCAGCTGGTAAAAAATTCTGAATTTTGCCTATTCTTATCTATCAAACTTAAGTCATTACTATTCCGGAAAACAAATGGCAAAACAATAGGCAGCTTTTGTTTTCAGTCACTTTAGAAAGGTCAAGTATATCTCATCTCTAACTCATTGTACCAGAGGAAGATTGGAGTGATATTGACAGGGAAGATTGGAGTGATATTAACAGGGAAGGGTAGGGAGTTGTATGTGTCACCTCCACTTTAAACGGTATATGATATATTATTTTATGATAATTTCCAGAAAAAATATCTTATGTGGCATCTCTGCTTCCAATAGCTTATAATTATAGCATCATGCTACATTGTAATGACCTAGTTTGACTAAAGTATTATAGTAATAATGCATAAATGTTATTACTTGAAAAACACCCAATGTGTGGCATTTAAACTTCAAATGGTATGTGACCACAGTATTATAATTATCTATTATCTATTTGTGGTGGCCGAATTTTGCTATTCAAAAGGCTTTTTAATGGCTGCATCGATCAAACAAGCGGTTTTCGCCCAAAAAAAATCTTGAAAATATTCTCCAGATCATGACGCCCTTGGTTTTTTTCAGGTTTGAGACAGTTTTGCTGCAAAATCCTAAATGTCTTTATTTCGCCGATCGTTTTTTGTAGGCCGACGCTTCTGTCTCTGTAATTTTAGAAAATCCGGAAGTGATATTTCGCGAGGCGCATTTGGTTTTGAGTGTATAGATCTAGACCTTCTCATTTTTTGAATCTCTCAAGATTAATTGCCCCATTCCAGTAGAGTGTAAATATAGTAGGCCAATTACTTTTAGTTGATACTAAAGCACCGATCATTCCTTTCATCGAAATGGGGCCCATGAGCTAGTAATATATAATTATTATTACCTGGAAAAACTCTTGGGTGGCACCTCCAGCAAACGTGCCGTATTTGATCTTGGTCTGTTTGGCCAGGTCATCGGCGCTGTTGATGTCCGAGACCATCCTCTCCACGGTGAGGAAAGCGGCCAGGTTGGCGGTGTAGGAGGAGATCATGATGAGGGTGAAAAACCACCACATGCCCGCCACCATACGTGTGGACAGGGCGCGTGGGGCGATCTCACAACCTGGGAAAACGGGAGGACAAGACGACGCTCTAATAGACCGTTTTGGTTGTATTTTGTTTAGTTTTCTTTAAACACGAAAGGGTAGTAGGCATTCAATGAGAACATTCTCAAAGTGGGAATGCGTGAGGACAAGATGACACTTTAATAATGTACCTTTTTTTTAAAACACGAAAAGGTAATAAAGCATTCAAAGTGGACATCCACAACGTGGGAATCACTTAAGGACAAGAGGACACTTTCATAGTGTACAGGTTTTTTGGGGGTTGCTTTTTTAAAACACTAATAGGCAATACGTCATTCAATGTGGACATTCATAACGTGGAAACACACGAGGACAAGAAGACACTTAAATATCGAACAGTTTTTTGTTGTTTTTTGTTGTTTTTTGTTTGTTGTTGCTGTTTTTTAACACTAAAACAAGTGGCGTCGGTGGCCTTGAGAGGTTAGGTTGCCGGAATCGTTCGAGCCTCAGCTCGGTCCGACGTTGTGTCATTGGGAAAAGCATTTTACACGAATTTTTTACTTGGCTCGATCGACGTTAAACTCTGAGGCCCCGCCTCTTAAATAATCTAACAGTATACCATCTCACCATTTTAAACTCTACAATAAGGCAATGAGGCATTCAATGCTGACATTCCCAATGTTAGAACACAGGAGGACAAGACGACACTTTAATACTGTACAAGTTTATTTTAGATATGCATTCAGTTTGTACACGATGGGGTTGGGCGGGGCGTTTTCATCCCACAATTTTAATCTTTTGAATTTTGCCGTACCCGTTTCGTCCAACTGGAGGCAGGTTATGAAAGAAAGGGGAAAGTTACTTAGACAGTATAGTCGACCTTGTCTGACATTAATTATGGCCACCCCTTGTGGGGGAGTAATGTGGTGGTATTAGACACATGGCGGTCCTACATAGAGTTATTGTAATGAAAAAAAACCACGTAAAGAGGGGGATGGGCTGTAGCCGTTTGAAAAAGGTAATTGTCTGAATTAAGTGCCCGTAGGAGAAGGTTCGACTGTATTTGAATCGTCTATCGTTCAGCCCAGATGCTGTACCGTATCCCCATCAGCCTGGAATTCCTTTGACAACTAAGGTCTAGGTAGCGCGCTTCAGGAGTGATCAAATTTTTGTCCATGGGAGCTTAAGAAATTCACGGCGCAATTGAAAGCCACTCACCTTGCTGCATGAGGGAACCAATGGTGAACCAGAGACTGTTCATCACCGTGAACTGGTTCTCCACCTCGTCTGTGTCAGGGTTACACGGGTGGGGGTTACACCACTCGTACGGGCTAAACCGCGCAATGACGAACAGCATGAAACTCACACAGAGATAGGCGGCTATCATGTACACCCACACCTGAAGAAACACAAGGGAAAAACGAGTGTGGAGGTAAAGGGTCGGGAGGGGGGGGGTGACATAAGTCAGGTGGTTTTTGTTGACTGTAGTATGGATGGGTGGATGGGTGGATGGATGGGTGGATGGGTGGATGGGTGGATGGATGTGCACGCGTGTGTGCGGATGTGTGTGAGTGTGTGTGTGTGGGGGGGGGGTGTTTGTATGCCAGAGAGAGAGAGAGAAAGAGAGAGAGGGAGACAGGGAAACAGGGAAAAATCAGAGAGAGGGAGAGAGAGAGAGAGAAAGAGAAAGAGAGAGAGAAGAAAGAGAGAAGAAGAGAGAGAATGTGTCTATGAGAAAGAAGGAGAGAGAGAGAGAGAGAGAGAGAGAGAGAGAGAGAGAGAGAGAGAGAGAGAGAGAGAGAGAGAGAGAGGGATGGAGACAGAGAAAGAGAGGGAGAGTGATAGCATAATATACTCACATCCACGGAAAGCGGTTGCAGAAAGGAGAAAAGGTTCAAAGACTTTGGAGCTGGCCGCTTGTACAGGATGGTGATTCCCAGAGTCAGGAAAGGCTTCGTGAAGTCCACTTGTTGCTCTCGCACTAAGTTGATGGTCAGATCACCAATGCCAATGTCAGCTTTCTGTTTGGAGAAAAACGAGTTGCAATGTGATTATTTGATTGTAAGATCGTGTCGATGCCTTGTGTTTATTGCTGTGTCAGATACACGAAAAAAACAGACTCCTGAGGCTTCTTTTTCTACTGAGTCAGAGACGACTTTTTAAAGCATGAAATACAACTCAAAGCAATAGAGTCCACATAAATAATATGTAGGACAACTCGAAAGCTAAGGCCCTAGCTAAAAACGACCAGAAATTATGTTTTCTTGTAAACAATTTATCTTCCTTCTTTTTCGTCTAAAACTATGTCACATTGACGTAATATCTACATAATTTCATGCATTTCTTCGTGCGTGCTGACTTAATCGATCTAAATTATGCGGATGAAGGGGTTATACATACCAAAACATTGGCCATTTATCTTTCCGCTGTTCTGTCCCTAGACGTACACAAAATACTTATATTTTAATCAACACCCTCTAGACCCCCTCCCCCACCCCCACCCATGAATATATAAATAACATTTTTACAATGAATGAATAAATGAATGAATGAATAAGTGGATGAAGGAAGGAAGGAAGGAAGGAAG